AAATTTGGGTCTAAAAATATGTTGCTTTAGAAAAGAAGTTCAGTTTTTGTTTCCAGAGGATGAGAACCTGTGGATTCCTTCCAGAGTAATGTGGTTTGATAAACCAAGACACTCTGAAAGGTCTCCATAAAGCCCCCAAAATACTTAGCCTAACAAAAAGCAGGAAGCAATTTGGAGAGAACTACATCCAAATTCCCTAATTGATTGTTTATAAATGCTTGTTTACATTTAAAGGGGGATATGATTTAGAGAGGAATATTTTGCATTGGTATGGATCTTGGTTTATTGATACAAATTTAAGGTCAATTATGTTATATGTATTTCTGCTCTTGCTTAAGGTATTGTGTTTGTGCAGCTCATTTTAAAAATGTAGTGTATAATTAAGATATACATATTAATAGATAGTCATTTATGATAGTCAAACCTGTAGTCATGTGAGTTAGGTTTTCTAGATGTACAGAGATATATTTCAGATGAATAGTTATTCTTCAAACCTTTCAAAGACTAATTGAATATGGCATTGAAAATGTTTAAGAACTTGGGACTTTACATGACAATGAGACACATCTGTTCTAGCAGCACCAATCTACTTCAAGAGGATTATGGGCATCCAAGAGGCTCTTTATGGAGTTTCTTAGCCATTTAGGCAGGAAACTGCTATTGCCTAGACTGTTTGATGGTATGCTGTATGAACTGGACCCTCAGGACCCACAGAAAAATGATTGCTGAAGTTGCCTAAAGAAGGTAAGGCAATCCCTTCAGGGTCCCGCTTCATGACAGAGTCTGCCAGACATTCTGCAGTACACAGAAGAAAGTGACTGACAAACTGCCAATATAGGTGGAACTATCTTTGAAATTTCCTACTTCATGGAAAAGTCTGTCAGATACTATGGGCCTGTAGGCTGAAAATGGGTGCCTCAATATTACAGAAGAACTTTGGGTGACTATCCAGGCAGCAAGATGTCTTTATCAATTATAGAGTTTTGGGAGTTGCTTACAATGCACTTCCTGTTTACTTGGTAATATTACATCCTTCTTGAGTCTTTCATGGAGTTGATGAACAGTAATAATTATAGTTTTCCTTAGTTATAATAAAAGATAAAGTAGATATAAATATTGTAACTGTAAACCTTGGTTGATAACTGTTTTGTTGTATGTAATATTACTATGTTAAAGTTAAAACCTTCCTTTTTATTTAGACAGAAAGGGGGAGGTGATGTAGGATTCCCCTCTGTATGCTGTGAATACCATTGTTTAATAAAGAAGCTGCTTTGGGCCTATTGCAGTGCAGAGTAGAGTGAGGTGGGAATTCCAAGCCGATAGAGGAGGAGAGAGCGGGCGGAGTCAAAGAGAAGCCATGGAGCTGCAGCAGGAGACAGACGCTGGACTAAACCTTACTGGTAGGCCACAAACACGTGGTGATTCACAGATTGATAGAAATGGGTTAATTTAAGATGTAAGAACTAGCTAGAAATATGCTTAAGCTATTGACCAAACAGTATTGCAATTAATACAGTTTCTGTGTGATTATTTCAGGTCCGGCAGCCAGGAATGAACAAGCAGCCTCCGCCTACATACTAGGACAGACAGCTGATCTTCCAGAGCAAAGAGCTTCTTGGGTACATCATTTGTTTTATATTCCTTCCATGTTACCTCCCTTTCTTTCTCTTTCTCCTCTCCCCCCCCCCTCTCTCTCTCTCTCTCTCTGTGTGTGTGTGTGTGTGTGTGTGTGTGTGTGTGTGTGTGTGTGTGTGAAAGAGAGACTAGGAATCAACTTTAGGTTTCATTGTTCTTCAATTTCTAATCACCTTGTTTTTGAGACAAGGTCTCTCACTGAAACAGGAGTTTGGCAATTTTGCTTGGCTGATGGCTAGCTAGCTCCAGGGACCAATCTGTCTCAGACTCCACAACACAGAGATTATAAATACATGCCACCACACCTATCTTGTTTTATGGGGCTCCTAGGGATCAAACTCAGGCCCAAAGCTTGCATGACAAGCATTTTGTCAACTGAACCACCATCCCAGCCTAACTTCAGTTCCAACTAACTTTAAACTGCAACAAATAGAAGACAGATTAATCCAAAATGGATACTGTAAGAGAGGATCAAGCAATGGTATCAAGAATTTTCCAGAGTTTACAGAGTCTGAGCAAAATTATAGGTGACAAGGGTACCATTAATGTGAACTATTTTGAATGAGAAGATCCATTCGTTTTAAGTTTCTAGCTTCTGATTACTGATTCTGGAGGGCTCTTCAAAGAAGCCAAAGAAAATACCGTCTTTCCTTCAGCAGTCATTTATCTGGCATGTGAATTATTGTTTATTTTCATTTTTGTAGCATTTCTAAAAACAGTCATCATCTTGAAGAATTCAGCTTTTCTCAGTAGAGAAGTCCCGACCAAGGTCAGTGGGGACATATTGCCACTGAGACTGTGGTATGCATCAAAAAGTCATTTTTACATAATCTACCCTATTCACCTTCTCTGCGTCATCTGAATACTTTATCTGGATCTGAAGTGATTATTATTGTTGTTTTTTATAATCTTTCCTGGGGCTGGGAGTGTAGCTCAATTTTAGAGCAGATATGACGACATGTTCTAAAATCAGCCTAGCCTGTGGCTATGCACAGATTTGAACATTTTATTACTTACAGCTCCTCCCCCTGTTTGGCGTTCTTGTCTGACACCAGATAGACAGTTCCAAAACTTCCACTGCCAAGTTTCTGCTGAAGAACATATCTTCTTGCAATCAAGGGAGCTGGATACTTGGAAGTGGCTGTGCACCCTCTCGCACACTTAGTCTCTTGGAATTTCAGCATTGCTCCAAGCAAGTTAAAACTGGCTTGTTTATCCACAGAAACAGCCAGGCCTCCCAGCTGGTGGTCAAAGAGTCAAGCAGGAAGTGGAGACTGATGCCGGAAATATGGAAAATCCACAGATCATGTCTAAAGGCAGCTATAAGATTCCTACAAAAAAAGTATAAGCTTTTGAAAATGATACCTGCACCATACCTTGTGTTATCACACCAGTTAGCGTGTGTGTATGTGTTGTGGTGAAAATGCTGCAAACTCTAGAAGGCACTTTCTTATAAAGACAGCCTTTCTGGATTTACAGTCAAAACTTTACTGACTTCTGAGATGTGTATACTCCCTGTCAATGTAAAGAGATTATCCAAACACAGGACCATATCTTCCCTTAATGCACAGATTGTATCAACTTTCTTGTGGTGATCTGTCCCTTCTATGTCTACTCTGGTTTAAACCAGGAATTAGCATAGCCAGCTTTCCTTTGCATTTCTTTCATGTAGACTAAAGTAAATCACAGTTTTTTTAGTTTATTACTAGATATGTGAAGGAATATTAATTTGGAGTGGTTTTTTTCTCCCTTTCATCCTAAGCAAAGTTTGATTCTGTTTTTATTATACTGGGTGCAGAGTTATATCCTTGGATTAGAAGTAACAAAATACAACTCGAACCTAAAGCTGCGTTTTAAAAGTAGCTGAATATGAATGTATTATCGGTAAAACCATAATTCCTCAAGGAGCTTTGAAATCTACGGCAGTGATGAACAGCAGAACCATTTCATGAGAAGGTATTCCACAGAACATACCCTTGTTCCATCCAAGTGTTAAATGTTTTCTTGAAAATTTTGCTTTGTTTTAAATTTGCATGAAAATGATTTTATGCCGAATACTATGTATTGGCCTTAGGTTAATATATTTAACAATTCTAAAGCATCAAGAAAAAGTACTGTTATTAATGATGATCTCTAGGCTTGGCATTTACCACAAAACCTACCAGAGCAATCAAACACGAAAATTTGCAAAACAGAAGCATAAGGCCCGGTTGTAATACTGTCTTCTTTAAAGAATATACTAATCTGCTGTTTCACCCAGTTCCAGTGACAGCGATACCCCTCTTCATGGAAATGTTAGGAAAATCTACAGCACCTACAGTGTAGGCCTCTAAAAGGTACTTTGTTTGCTTTTTGATTGCCATAAAAGTGGTCCATTTCTAGATAAAGTAAGCCGTTTGGAAAAGTGTATGGCGTAGCCACAGCCTTTCGGATCACTAATAATTTTCCTTATTGTGGAGAGGAGATTAAAATTTAGTGAAGGACCCAAGGCAAGATGGAGTTCTGAAGCTTCTATCTGTAATGGGGAGACAAACCCGGCAGTTTGTAAACAGCCCCTCCAGGCTAATCTCACAGACTCAACTCTGTCACTCTCGTTCCCTGTTCATAACCACATAATGTACATATAGGGCAGCGTGGATCTGAAACTAGGGCGGTGGATGAACTTGGGTGATGGGAACAAATGTTATCGCTGTATCCCTGGTGTCTCACTAACAGCTAATATATCGTATCCGTAAACGTTTGGAGAGCAAAGAAGGGTTCAGAAAACCAACTGTGGTCCAAAGGAAAAAAAAAGGGGGGGGGGAGGAGAAAGCAGGATGGGAACTCGGAGAAAGCAGAGAGATACCCACTTTGTGCTAACCATTCCTAAGGAAAACGACCCATCCCACTGGGACAGGCCAAGGAAAACCCAAGTGTTGACCGCGGTGGGGACCGAGTGGTTTATGCCCACATAACACGCACTAGGAAGTGGTCCTGACCGGGTTCTGCTAAATCTGACCTGAGAGGTAAACGCTAACCCTGAGGTAAAAGGAACAACTTCCTGTCTCTTCAACAAATAAACCCTGATTTTCGCAAAGCAGGTAAGTATATCGAGGGGCTGAGCGCTTATTCTTCCGAGGGGAAATAGGGTCCGGGGGCTGCGGGGGCCCGGCTGCCCGAGCTCCACTTTTGTTACCTTTCCGGTCGCTGACCAGCGACCGGCCACGCCTCAGCCTAAAGCTTCTGGCCTCGGCGGGCCTGGTTGTTTGACGCCGTCGCCACGGAGACGGCGCGGGGGCTGCTGGGAAGTCGGGATTGGGCCGCCAGGCCCGCGGAAGCGCGTGCGACCCTATGAGGCGGCGCAAAGAGTCGGGGCGAGGCGGGCAGAGAATTCCTGAGGAAGAGGTCGCTCTCGTGAGACAAACACCTCATCCTACACCAAGTTACCGCCACCGGCCCGAAAACACTTTCCCTCCCATCAGCGCCCTCAGCTTCTCTGAGCCAGGCTTCCCAGTGACGTCCAGGTACTTCCGGTTTCCGCTCGCGGTCTTCTACTCACGTGCGGGTCTGCCAGGCCACCCTGGGCTGCTGATGAAGAAAGTGGGGGGCCAGGAGGAAGCAGCAGGTGGGTCGAGGGCTGAGATGGCTTGGGGTAGGAGGTCTGTGTATGAGCAATTAGATCCTACGTCTTTTGCGCACCTTTGCCCTACCCGGCTTGCACCTTTGCCCTATCCGGCTTGCATTTGTTGAGCAAATGCAAGGTCATCTCATTTGCTCACATTAGTCGTGAGTTTGCAGAAACCACACGACAAATCGGGAAAGAAATGACTGTTCAGTGCAGAGGTGTCGACTGAGGTGGATCTGAAGTGAGGTGAAATGTAGGCAGATGCCAAAACCAAGAAATTCTGGGTGATGAATTTTTACGTGGCATCTCAAAAAAATCAAAGTGCAATAATTCTAAGACTGAAACAACATTTCACAATTTTAAAGAAAGGCAAGGCTGGTAATAGTGCCACAGTAAGCTAGAGGGAAAATCAGTAGCACCAACCAGTCCTATGAGTCGTTAGCCAGAGATAGGCCAGAAGCTGATGTAAATAATTGGAGCTAAAATTGGATAGTTGGGGTCTTAGAAGCATAAAGCGGTTGCTTTTTCTTACCCCAGACTGCATCTAATGGCCCCACACTCAAGACCTGTAAGAAGGGTCCATAAGAAAAACTGGATCCTTATGTGCCCAACACTGAGATTTAAGGCATTGATAAGGATGTCATTTTTATAGGTTAGGACTTTTTGCCTTGACCCTCACCAAACAGATACTCCACCTTATAAAATGGAAACATAATATCAGTAGCAGAATCCATAGAATTCCTGTTGGTGTGACCATAGTGTTCCAGTGAGGCCAGGAGTAGCCTCCACCATTAACCAAAGATCAAACCCCACGAAATGATTGGGTTTGTGCCTTGTGAATGCTCAGCTAGACGTGCTGACGGCCAATATAGTTTAACCGAAGAGCAAGTCTCATTTTCTACTGAGGCGATGATCTGGTGCCCCTGAGAGCACTGTGTTAATCAGGATTCTCTAGAGAACCAGAACTGACGGCAGGATCTGTGTACACACACAGACACACAGGGCTTATCAGAGTGACTTAAAGTCAGTGGCCCAGCTATTCTAGCAGTGGCAACGAAAGGCCCAAGAATGCAGTAGTTGTTCAGTCCACGAGCCTGCCTATCTCAGCTGCTCTCCGGTGCCCTCCAGAATGCTGAAGAAGTTGGCAAGGAATGAACTTGCCAGGGAGAGTTAGAGCAAGTGGGCCAAGAGCAAGAACTTTCTTTGTCGTCCGTATCCTTTATATAGGCTGCTGCCAGAAGGTGTGGCCTAGATTAAAGGTGGGTCTTCCCACCTCCAGTGATCCAATTAAGAACAATTCCTTTATCAGTATACCCAGCAGCTTGGGTCTGGGTTGGTTCCAGATACAGTGAGATTAGCAACCAGGAATGGCCTTCGGAAGCACCGTCCACTGAAATTGGTTTTTTTTTTTCTCGTTTCCCAGGCAGCTGTCAGTCATCATGGGCATCAGAGGACTCATGAGTTTCGTGGAAGATTACAGTAATGAGTTCTTCACTGATCTGAAACTGAGGGACACAAAAGTTATCATCGATGGCTATTCTCTCTTCCATCGACTTTGCTTCAACTCAGACTTGGAACTCCGGTATGGAGGGGACTATGATTCATTTGCAGACGTTGTACAGAGATTCTTTGAGTCACTGTTCGCTTGTCATATCTGTCCCTATGTTGTATTAGATGGAGGATGTGACATTTCAGATAAGAAGCTTACAACTCTGAAGGATCGAGCTAGAGAGAAGATCCAGGCGGCCCATTCCCTTTCTGTCGGCGGGCGTGGGAATGTGTGTCCCTTACTCATCCGAGAAGTGTTTATACAGGTTTTGATCAGGCTTAAGGTGTGTTTTGTTCAGAGCTTCTCGGAAGCAGATCGGGACATCATGACACTTGCCAATCACTGGAATTGCCCTGTGCTATCATCAGATAGTGACTTTTGCATTTTTGACCTGCGAAGTGGGTTTTGCCCACTGAATAGTTTTCAGTGGAGAAATGTGAACACTGTTAAGAACACACAGGATTACTATATTCCTGCCAAATGCTTTTCCCTCGATGCATTCTGCCGTTACTTCAGCAACATGAACAAGACTCTCCTACCTCTCTTTGCGGTGCTGTGTGGAAACGACCACGTTAATCTGCCCATCATAGAGACACTCATCAGCAAAGCACGGCTTCCTCTTAGTTCTAAGGGGAGGAGATACCACCGAGTTCTGGGACTTCTGAACTGGTTGTCTCACTTTGATGACCCCGCTGAAGCACTGGAGAATGTCCTGAAGCATCTCCCCAGAAAGGGCCGAGAAGATGTTAAGGAACATCTCTGCACTTCCATGGAAGAGTACCAGCCGTCCCAGGTGAAGCTGCAGGACTTCTTCTACTATGGAACTTACGTCTGTCCAGACGCTTTGAATCTGGGCTTGCCAGAGTGGGTAGTAGTAACCTTAGCTAAAGGCCAGCTACCACCTTTCATCAGTGATGCTCTGGTGCTTCAGAGGACCTTTCTTCACACACAGGTAGAAAACATGCAGCGACCAAATGCCCACAGAATAGCTCAGCCCATCCGGCAAGTCATCTATGGGCTTCTTTTGAATACCTCATCACATCCAGAAGGTATTTCCCAGAATGCAGTGCCTTCTCAGCCTCCAGCTTTCAATGAAGTGGAAAGAATTGATAAAAATATCAAAACATCGGTTGTTTATGCAAAACAACTGCTCAAGAATCATTCTGACTTGAGCAAATTGACTGAGGTAAGTTTGTAAAACTAATACAATTCTTAAAAATCTATAGATAATAAGTTGCTTTTATATGTTGTAGCATGATTAACAAAAACCCAGAGATAGATAGTGGGGTTCAAGCTGAAAGATCAGAGAAGCAAAGCAGCTACCTACTAGCGAGCTCTTACCTCTACGAAATCTTCAGACTAAAAAGAGAGTGAGTTCCCGTCTCATCCCGCCTTACATTCCTCTAGTGCTGGAATTAAAGGTGTGTGACCCCAAGTGCTGGGATCACCTCTGTGTGTTTAGACAGATTCAATCTTAAGTAGTCCAAGGTGGCCTTGAACTAATAGAGATCCCTTTGCCTCTGTCTCCCAAATCCTGGGATTAAATGTGTGTGCCACCACCGCCCAGCTTCTGTGGCTAACTAGTGTGGCTGCTAGGATTAAATGTGTGTGCCACCACTACCTGGCCTGTATGGCTGACTGGTGTGGCTAGCTTTGCACTCTGATCTTCAGGCAAACTTTGTTAGATCATAAACAATATCACTATAATATGTACTGTCTCTCTTAATGTAACACATTGTTTCCCACCATGCCTTAATGTTGTGTTTGAAAACGAACTCCAGGGAACTAGGTAACCTCTTAGTCACCTAGTTAGTATCAATACTAACAGCAAACCTAGCACCTGTAGCGCTAAATTTGCTATTCTCAGTGTTGTGTTCTTCAGTAACCCGTTTCTTTGCAGTTATTGTACTATATTGATCCCAACTAGAACAGAGTTATATAACTTGAACTGTAAAAGGAGTGTACATATAGGCACTTGATACGGGCCTAACAGCATCTTAGATTATCTCAGAGTTGAATTAGGATTGATACTGATGCTTCTATCTAAAGGTTTTGTTTTTATCAATGAAGGTCTCTTTTTAGGCTTTAAGCTTGTGGCATCCTGGCGACTTGCTTAAACCCATCCTTAAAAGCATGCCTTAGCCTACCTTGTTGTTGCTTAATTCTAAGTAACACTCAAATCAGTCATCATTTCAAGGAAGAAAATATTCTCATGGATTCCAGTCTTGCCTTTATTTTGATAATATGTCAATATACTAAGAATAACAGATGAAACTATTTTGATAACACAATTAAACAAATTAAATGTAAATGAATTTATAAAGCCAGTTGCAGTGCCCACTAGATTTTTGTTTGTTTTTTAGCACCAACTAAATATTCACTTGCATATTCACAGGGTCATTGGCATGAGCCTACTCAAGTATGAAAGTCAGCAGCCTGTTTCCTGGCTTCCAGTTCGATTCCCAAGGGACATGTGGTAGTGATCGTCACTTCCTAGGGAGTGGAAAAGGTGGAGCTGCCACTAAGATCTAGTTGGGAAAAGCAAGAATGTTCAGCTTCTTAGAATGAACAGATTGGCACTCCACAAGAAAGAATTATGTGACCCACAATGCCCCTTGTGTGCCCACTAGTGACAGCACAGAGGGATTTGGAAGTGGGTATCAGGAGCACCCTTAGCACTGGGAATTAACTACCTGCAGGAACAGCGCTGCTTTTGGAGGTGATGAGAATGTTCTGGGATTAATAATGGATGCACAAGCCTAGAAATATACTAAAACTAGTATCTCATCTCTCAGTCACTGTACTAACCACCCGTTAAGTGCTAAGGATGTACGGCACTGGCTCATCCTCTGGAAGGGAAAGTGTTTCTCTGACTGCATAGAGACACTAGGAGTCTTTCGTAAATGTTCATCAAAGTGTGGCCTATAAGGCTCTGTATGATTCACAACATCTTGAGATTCAAAAATTCAGCGAGCAGCCCAAAGCTCCAGGCTGTTTCCTTCTCCGCCTGTGTTTGAAGTACTTTCTACTATAAAGTGTAGGGAAAGTGAGTCCGTCCGTGTGCTGCAGGCACAGCATGGGACTTCACCAAGACTGGCCTGTCTGACTTCAGTAGATCTCTCACCCTGGAGCCGCCACATGCCAGAGGTATTTGTAATTTATTTTGTGGAGATGCTTAGTTATGGCATCAGAGAAAGTGGTAACAGATCCACTAGCACGTAAGAGCAGAGCAGATGTAGATCTTAGTTTCCCATAGTAAAGTATGTGGGCTTCAGTTACAAGTTCTTAGGCTCCCCTCAGATTACTGAACCAAAATTAAGGGGTAGGGCCTCAGAACTGAATTTCTAACAAGCTTCCTGAAGGATGTGTGTATTGAATATGCAGTACAGAGAGACAGGGCAGAAACACAAGAAAAGCTATTTAGAGGGCATAGAAGATACATTCCTTCAAAGAACCAAATGTAATTTATTAACTTCTATAACTGAATTAGATCTCTTCAATGCTACCATAAAAAAAAAAAATCCCTAATTTGCGGAATATTTGATGTTTCAGCTCCCCTTGCCTAGGCGGCGGATGCTTCTGTTAGAAGCCCTGAAGGTCAAACAGGTTGTCCTGGAGGCCATCCCTACTTTGCTGAAGTTGCCCATTGCTGTCACTTGTTACTGGTTGCAGTCCACAGAGGCCAAGGCAAAGCTCCATCATCTGCAGGCCTTACTGCTGGGGATGCTGATGGAGCCCTTGCATGCCATTATCAACTGCCCTGGTAGGTTCTAGAAACCCAGGAATGTTTTGTCAAGTTGTATATAAACTGTACATCCTCAAGAATTTACACACACACACACACACACACACACACAATTGACTATTACAGAACTTAGAAGTGAAGGTGCCAAAATGCCCTTCACAGGTAAAAATATTCCTAACAGTTGCATATACCAAACTCGGAGCCAGGAGTTTGGCCACAGGTAAAGAGCTGAGATGTACTAGTACTGCCTGCCTGTCTGCTATGAGGTAATTGATGCCCCATCACCACCAATGCAGCAGCAGCAGCAGCAGCAGCAGCAGCAGCAGCAGCAGCAGCAGAATACATTACTTGCACTTGCCCAGAAAATGAAACTTCTCAATACTCCAACCTTAGCATTCTTGCTTGTATTATTTTCTTTCTTTAAGGATATTAAGTTTCAACTAATATGTAAGTAATAATAGAAAGAAAAAAAAAACTTGTTTCCATTAGAGAAATAGCCTGGGCAGTTTTGTCTGCATTAAAATATTGGGTGAGGTAATGAATGAAGTATTGGAACATTTTAGTTCTTTAATGCAACTTTCTCAAAAGATTATGAACACCATGTGTGGACAGAGAAAAAACATCGTGGAAAGAGTTCTGTAGATGGTCCTACCTTGGGTGTATTCTATATTAAGAATGAAACAGCATGGACTCAAAACATCCCAAATAACCAAGCTCAAATGTGACAAGAGGGACCACTAATATATGACAATCAAAACAAGTCAGGCTCATGGCTGTAAGAACACTGTTTGGAGCTATGTTCTGTTTAAATAAACACAGAAACTCCCATAGCATGAGCCCGTTAAGATTTTGCATGAGTCCTATAGAAGGGGCATGTCTGTTTGTTTTCTTTTAGGAAATATGGACCCTGCACCAAGGCAGGCCCAGTGCCTTGCTTCCTGCTAATTGTGAAAGGTGGGCCTCCTTTTTATTACTTTCAAGTTGGTCCCAAGATTATTTTGTGCACCTCTGCTCAAACAAACCTGCATAAGTTGCATCTGCTAAGGTTGTCAGTTCTTGCCCCTTCTGTTAAGCAATGAAGTATTCATACTTTAGTTTTCCTCCTGTACAACAGGCAACAATGTACTCTGAACCTATATGAGCTGTCTTTAAGCAAGTGTGCTACCCCCATGGGGGCGTCTGTGAAAGGAAAGAGCAGATAAAAACAGTGAAGAGAATGGTGTTTAATGTGCTATTTCATAGACACTGATCTTAGAGAATTACATGCAGATTTGTTTAAGGTCAGGTAGCATACTACTATAGGAGAGATCTTATTTCAAGGAAAAATAATTTGGGATTGAATAAAGTCATGAAAAGAGACTGTTAGTGTAAATATTTCAGCTTTTATAAGACATTTATGAAACCAGAAGAGAAAAGCAACGAGTTTTCAAACTAACTGTCTTTGGGGCTTTGATGCTGCTATATACAAAGAGTGCAGACGAATGCAGTGCTTGGGAAATGCTGCCTTTCGGTGGTTTCTTTATCTAGGTGAGGAAGACCCACGGGCAGGTGGTGCCAAGGTGCTGTATGAAGAGTTACAGCGGGTGAAGGCGTCCATGCAGCCAGGTGCAAGATTGGATTTAGACACAGCTCACGTCTTCTGTCAGTGGCAGTGCTGTCTCCAGATGGGGTTGTATCTCAACCAGCTGCTGTGCACTCCTCTCCCAGAGCCAGACCTAACTCAGTAAGCACCATGGGTACAAAGATTCCTTTCTTTATGTCTAAAACAGGATGCTCTGACAGTAGTCAGTGTTACTGTTCTCAGTCTCAGAACAGTTAGAACTCAAGTTCTGGAAATGGAAAATAGTCCCAGTTTCTACTGTTTCTAGTTTTTCAAAAATCAGTTGAGAGGTAAATAATTACCTCTCATTTCTTTTTGGTGTTTGAATGATTACTTTGTGGAGAATTTTTATGCCACTCAACTCCTAGGCTATCCCATTACTGGTGTATTTGTGTGTGTGTGTGTGTGTGTGTATACATATATGTATATGATGACATTTCTTGCCATTTGTCATTCACTCAAATAGTTTGTGCTAGGGTGAGGTAAACAACAAGAAAATCTCTGTTCTCTTGGAGCTTTCCCTGGGGATTTGTCTTGTCTATAGGAAGAAGGGAGCTGAACATGTATGCCCGAGTTTAACTCTGGAGTTTAAGCTGGGTGGGACAGACGTGAGCCCATGGGAAAGTGATAGTAACAATGGATTAGGCATCTGGGTAACTGTCCATCAGAAAGTATCAGAGGGAGAGTAACATAAGGCAATGGCTAGGAAATGGGATTTGAGGTTGTATACATGCTTCATCTGTATTCCATGCAAACTCAAGTACAAGTCCAGAGCTTGGCGTATTTCCAGTGAGTAAAAAGATGTGGCACCATAAAGTTTAGCAACAAAAGGGTTGCTTGCTTGGTGTTTGTGTGGTACTAGGAACCAAAGACAAGGCCTTGTGCAAGTCAGGCAAGCACTCTACCACTGACCTGTAAGCCCAACCCTACTTTTGTTAATGTATCTCTGGACCGCATGTCTGAGCTAACACAAAACCCTCCACACAAGTCTAATAAACTGGCCTTTTGTCTTTGTGCTTGTTCCTTTGATAATTTTGGTCATTCTTAACTGGATCTTCGCTGGGTACACATGCTACAGTTCCCTTCACATCAAAACGGGAGCAACAATATCACTTATGTTTTTGCTAATATGTTTTCTGCAGGATTATTGTTGCATCTCAGCATAATCAAGACTTCTTAAATGATGATTTTACACTTATTGAGGACTGCACTGATTGCCAAAGTACACCAGGTTGATCAGCTCTTGCCATGAGTCATTAAATTTAGGGGTTCTAGTTAATACCCTTTTGCATTTGTGTAGTGGCTTTTTATTCCAAATGCCATACAAATGATGCCACTGCAATTTTCTGATACTGTAATAAACTGCCTATTTTGTCTACCAAGGCCATTTCATTAAATTCCTTTCCTCTGCAGTGTTAGAGAGGCCAATTTAACTCTGATCTAGCATCATCACAAGGGTTCATGTCACTCGGTTCCAATAAGTAATTTTACTGTTTATTTAGGAGCAGTAAGCTGAGTGTTTAGATACTTCTACTGGAAATGTTCATCGTAGTTGTCCCATTGCATTGAACTGATGCTTTCAAATCACATTCTCTCACTGAACAGGTTGTACAGTGGAAGCCTGGTGCACGGACTCTGCCAGCAACTGCTAGCATCCACTTCTGCAGAAAGCCTCCTGAGCATGTGTCCTGAAGCAAAGCAACTGTATGAACATCTGTTCAATGCCACGAAGTCATATGCCCCAGCTGAATTATTTGTACCAAAGACTCAATCAAACTCAAAGAAAAGGAGGCAAAAGAAAAAGGTTACCAGCCAGTCAAAGAACAAAGTGGTAACCACTTCAGACAGCAAGCACTGGTATGACAGAAGCAATCGGTTTGGGCTGTTAATGGTTGAAAGCTTGGAGGAGCACTTAGAGACCTCAGAGCTTGAATAAACAGTCTGTATAGCACATGAGACTTGTTCTAACTTAAAAAAAAAAAATCTCTTACCTCCCTTGAAACTAACTTTTCTTTAGGAGTTGCCTTCACCAGACAGTAAGGACCTAGTTAGTACCTGATTCCAGGAGTCATACTTGCTTAAGCTGCTTGGGGAAAAGCACACAAAGAAATAATGAGAACATTTTATCAACAGTCTGCCAAGTACAAAGACCAGACTTGACTGCTGTGTACTGAGACAAGAAGTCACCAAGAGGCACGGTTGAATCAGGAAGATTCACTACATGTGGTGTTTGGCCTGGCCTTTCTTTCCCTCCCTCTTCTATTTCCCTTTGGTTGACTGATGGAGGAAGGTCATTGGTTAATTATAATAAATAAACTGCTTGGCCTCATAGGTTAAAACATAGGTGGGAGGAGTAAACAGAGAAGAATGCTGGGAGAAAGAAGCTGAGTCAGGAGTCACCATGATTCTCCCACTCCAGACAAACGCAGGTGAAGATCTTTCCTGGTAAGCGCACCTCGTGGTGCTACATAGATTATTAGAAATGGGTTAAGAGGCTGAAACTAATGGCCAGGCAGTGTTTAAAAGAATGCAGTTTCCATGTAATTATTTCAGGGCATAAGCTAGAGCTAGCTAGCGGCCGAGAGCTGGGGCGGCAGGGAAGCAGCCCGCAGCTCCTCACAACAGTTGACTGGCCTTTAAGATTGAAAAGAAAGCTGAACATAGCGGACAATGAGGACTACTGAGACCCCAAGAACAACGGCAATGGGTTTTTGATACTACTGCACCTATTGGTTTTGTGGGAGCCTAGGCAGTTTGGATGCTCACCTTACTAGACCTGGATGGAGGTGGGTGGTCCTTGGACTTCCCACAGGGCAGGGAACCCTGATTGCTCTTTGGGCTGATGAGGGAGGGGGACTTGATTGGGGGAGGGGGAGGGACAGGGGAGGCGGTGGTGGGGAAGAGACAGAAATCTAATTAATTAATAAAGAAATAAATTTTAAAGAAAAGAAAGAAGAGGGATGAGGCAATGAGGGCACCTCATATAAAGAGAACGTGGCGTGTTCCGTATTCCCAAATTCTATAGTATCCTGTGTTTTCAATCAAGTCTTGCTCTGTCTGACTCAGTTCTAGCAAATGAAACCTCATGAGGCTCTGGATGCGTCAATCTTCAGTTAGCAGTTCAAGTAACAAAAGGAGTTCTGGACAGCTAAGATGAGTAAATCTTGGTCATGAAAAAGAGACTCAAGTGGACCTTAGTATTTTTTTTTTTTTTTGAAAAATCAGTTTCAGGTTTATTTGAAGATGGTTGGATATGGATATTAGAGCTGTAAAGGTGTAGGAAGAAAAGTAGAGGAAATGCTCTTTAAACAACATTTAAAAGATTCATTACAGAAAAAAATTAAAAATAAAAGCTCCACAGTAATACAGGTTATAATTCAATTAAATTGTTTGATGGAGATATTTCAACTTGAATTCCTAGTTTAATTTTAGCAAGCAAAGGAGCTTTATTATCTAAATGACCTTACCATTCCCTCCTTTTTACATAAAGCAATCAGTGACTACATCTCAGTTGCCCTACCTGTGAAATAGAATTGCTACCCTCAGATCACCTCACAAAATCAAAAGAATGTGCTATATGCATTTCGTATCAGTACTAAAACGTGGTAAGTCATGCCTGGCACTACAGTGTGCTAAATCACCAATAATGTTACATCTGTACATGAAAAGAAAGGATAAAGAAAGGAGCCTGGGGAAAAGGTGAATGCCAAGTGGTAGAAAAGGATACCATGGGACAAGGGATGTCTAAACTAAGAGCAGAATTCTGCGAAGGCAGTCAAGATTATTAGATATGGTGATGAATGTGAGAATTTTATAAGAATGAGGTGTCAAGTTCAAGTCAGTACAAAGACATGTAACTTGGATTAATCGACATGTTAGTAGATGAATTTGCTTTGAAAAAAAAATGTAGGCACTAGGTTGAAGACAGCCCAGTTGCAAGCAGAATGATCTAGTCAATTTCCAGATTCTCATGTTTGGTTTTGCTTTTTAAAAGCTGGCATACTTGTAATCCCTATTGCCTGGCCTCAAAACTGTAGACACGTTGTGAAGGAGGAGCTGAAATCTAGGAATGGGAACATCCCCAAACCCAAGTTTCTAATGACAAAGTTCTATAGGCCTTTTAAATCCAGACCTAAATGAGTTTTCAATAGACAAATCCAGGCTGGGGAGATGGCTCTGTGGGAAAAGCACTTTGTACACATGCATAAAGACCTAAGTTTGGATCTCCAGAACCCATGTGAAGCTGGACATGGCTGCATACAGTTGTAACCCTAGAGCTGAAAGGGTGAAGACAAGTGGATCCTGGGGGACTTGCTGGCTAGCCAGTGAACTTTAGGTTCAGGCAAGAACCTGTCTAAAAAATAAGGGGGAGCATGACAGAGGAAGACAGCCAGTGCCAACCTCTAGCCTCAACACAAACACATGGGCAGCCATATCTACACACACATTTAAAATGCACACACATAAAGACAGGCGTGGTAGTGTGCATTTATAATTCCAGGATGGGAACGTGCAGACAGGCCAGTCTAGTCTACTCGGTTGTCAGACGGCATGTGAGGATTGACATCTGAGGCTATCTCTGACTTCCACACGTGCACACACAGAGAAGACAAACTGATTAAACTGGTTCTACTATAACGAATTATAATGTGTTTAATAAAGAATGGGGAGAAGAGAATGAATGGTAAGAATAATTCCCTAAAAAGTATAACAGTTTTCCCTTTGATAAAAGCTGTATGACACATTTTCAGGTAGAATGTTCTATGAAAATGAGGTAAGAGTATGCGTTCCCTTAAGACTAGGCTGTTGGGTTATTTTAATTTCTACTATTGAAGCTTGTTTTTTCTAAGCAAAATAATAAATTTTAGCTTACTCAAATTAAGCCGCAGTCCCTGGGAGGTTGCCATTTCTCTTGTGCACTGAAGAGGGTAGGAGAGCAGATGATCAGACAGGAGATGCTACATCAGAGGGATACACGCTTGGATGAAGGGATGTGGGAGGAGAGGAAGGAAATGCATGAAGGGAGACTGCATGTGCAGGTGTAGTGGTGCAGCGTTCAAAACACTCGACCCACTGTAAGAACAAACACGGTGGCCGCTGGCCAACCCTGCTGATGAGTTGACAGGCTGAGACACACCTTCTCTACACAAAAGCCTGGCACACACACTAACATCAAATCTGCTACAGAATGGCATCTTAGAGATGGGCAGTCGCATAACTGGTGCACTTCCTTGCCAATGAGTGAAATACACATACCTATTTTCTTGGTATTTAAATTGATAGGCAAATATTTTCTATAAAGGACCAGATAGCATTTTAATTTTTTATTATTAATTTTATGTGTATGGGTGTTTTGCATGCTTCTATGTCTGTGACTGGTTTCTTCCATGGCCAACAGAGGGCATCCGATCCCCTAGAACTGAAGTTAGAGATGGTAGTGAGCTACCCTGTGAGTGCTCAGAATTGAACCTGGATCTTCTGAAAGAACACCAAGTACTCTTAACCACTAAGCCATCTTTCTCCTGTTCTGGTTAAGTAGTTTAGGTATTTTGAGCCTTGGCATCCCTATTTTTTTAAGCCTTGCAATCCCTATTCCACCTACCCTTGCTGCTGGGGTATGTAAACAGTAATAATCAATAAATGAATGCAACTGTGTTCCAATAAACTACTTACAAAAAAATTTAAATGTAGCATGCAGATTTGGCCTACACAGCATCACCTGTCAACTTCTAAATAACAATTCCATGTAAGTGATGCAGCTCACTGCCAAGTGTAACTTCAGTTCTAGGGGGTCTGATGAAGAATGAGATGCAGTTCCTCATGTCTTCTCTATCAGGCATACAACCAGCTATGTAAGAGTAACTTTTCCCATATTGTTTCATGGCTAGTGTTTTATAAGCCTTGCGTATCAGCCTCATCCATACTATGCTGTAAGATGCAGACTTGACAAACAGGAGCTGAGTGGTGAAGGTATAGGATTTTCTTTATGACCATAAGATGGCACCAAAATGCCACCTCTCAGCTAAATACACTTCAGCAGGCTTACAACAGGAAAACTTTAGTAGGCAATCGCCTACATGAAATGTGGTATATGTATTTTTAAAATATCTAAAAGCACATTTTGTCAGAGTTCTAACGCTAGAAACACAGCATTTCTGAAAATAATGTAACTATTTGCCCAATTTCTGCTCAATGATACTGGGAGATGTGGTTTCTATAGAAAACATTACCAAGAGGAAGAAATGTACCCAATACTTTTAAAAGAAACTGGGCATGATGGTGCACACATTCTAGCAGTCAGGAGGCAGAGGTCAGCCTGGTTTACAGAGTACGTTCCGGGACAACTAAGGCTACACAGAGAACCCCTGTCTCAACACTCCCCCCTACTTCTGTATGCTGCAAAAAAAAAGTTAGTTTTACTTTTGATGGAGCCATCACAGAAATGTGAGCTATAAAGAATATTTGTCAGTTTGGCTAGAATTGAGCAAAACTAACAAGAAAATCATGACGTGGACCAGTCCTACAAACTGACCTTTCCTGCCTCCCTGGATACACTCGTGTCGCTGTACACAGGAACACCGACAGGCATGGAAACAGACGAAGGCTATGACTCAGATTGCTTCAATTTTCACGCTTGCCAAACTTCTGCCTAGATTTATCAACCAAGTGACTTGAACTTGCATTTCTAACATTTTCTAAAAGATGAAAACTTTCCATTTTCCCCACTCAAATTCATAGCTGTATTTTTTTTCCCCTTGGCAAAGTGTAAGGTGTGGCACCGGAACCACCACACACACCCCCTTCCCTTCCAAGCAATTGGAACCACCCTAAGCTGATGTTTCTGCAGAGTCTTAAAAGTACAGGTGAAATTTGTAATTCTCACAACCAACTAAGGTCCCCATTGTCCCCATAACTGGAGAACTGTGTGAGAGGGGGCTAGAGAGGGCCTTG